CAGAGCTAATAATGTAGTTAGGTTTAGTTTTCTCGGGCCCCAGACTCTTGTCACAGTGATTTTGTTGCTTTTGGGGCCCCAAAACACTTGTCTGAATAAATGAATGAAATGAAACGAAATTAGCATGTTCCATTTTCCACAATTTGTTTCCATTTGTTTCTATTCAAGGCAGGATGAATTGTTGTAGTGTTAATTGTGTTTACATGTCCTTCCAGGTCTTTTTTAATTTCCTTCATCCAGTTGTTTCTTGGTCTACTAGCTGTTTACATTCTTTTTTTTTCAGCTATAATTAGCTATAATTCATCAATTATTATTTATTCAATATTTTTTTGGCTGCCTGTTCTGAGTCTTTTGTTTAAACTTTCTGTTTTTTTAAACCATTATATACAGTCTCATTTCTGAACCAATTTTCTGTAAATAATGCAGAAACACAGATTACCTCCCCATTGGTGTTTGTGTATTCACTGATGTGTCGATTCGTTAGTTAGCAGGATTATGCAAAATTGAATGAATGGATCATCATTAAATTTAGTGAAATGGTATTGGTCCAGTCGAAGGAATAGGTATTCATTTTTGAGTGAAGGGGTTAAGGTCTTGGAAAGATGAAAACATAATAATGCTGTTTAGCAGAGGTATGCATTTGCTTACTGCTCTAGTTTGTAACTTGGATGCCACTGCTGTGGTCTTATCATAAAGACTCTAATCATGCTGATGAAGGCCATTATGATATAAATAAAATATGCTAAACAAGGTCTCTGTAATATACTGCATGCGCTCTATAAGTCGACTATTATTTATAAAAGAAGGCTTGAATGTGCGTTTCTAATCGCATGATCTTACGTTAAGATCTTGCAATGTTGGTAGTGGCACTGTAGCTTAGTGGCTGTGGTACTCCACTTTTATTTCCAGCCAGTGGTGGCTCCATATATTTGCTGACAGTGGGTCCAACATATTCGACAAAGGGGTCCGAACCAGAGAGCTGAATAGAGCCCGATCAGTTTCCCGGAATAAAAATCTCTAAAAGGTTGGTCAGGAGACCCACCACTTTTCGCAGGGTCCTATGTACAAATATCAGATTTCTTTTCCAGACTAAAGATAAGTCCACATTATAAGTATTATATTATAAAAACTCATTCGAAATAATATTAACCATAACTATATCAAATTTCTGTCTATATTCCTGCCTACATATCAGTGGAGTACTGACATGGGGTGCAGGAGTAGGGAGTTTTACCAAATTTAAGTGGGAATGTGATGATTAAGTGATGGGGCATTATTTTGAAAAATAATGTGATGGATGATTTTGAAGCTCAAATTTTTTGGCCAGCAAATTTCCAGTAGGGGTGCCTGGGGGTTCAAGCTCTTTTTGGAGGGAAGTATTTGATGTATATGATAAGATGAAATAATTTGACATTTGTGATTACATATTATTCACATCTTAATAGTATAACATGCACAGATATATCTCAAATATTTGGTAAATTACAAAATTCTATTCCGAAATCCAAACATGACACAATACACTTTAAAATAAGTGTTATTTCAAAATTCAGAATAAGTTGTGAAAATATATTCTAGGATATTGTTAGTACTGTCAATTGCAATTTATAATGCAATTGAAAGTAGTGAAATGTTTTGTTTTGTTTTTTTTTTTCCCCATTTTATTTAAAAATTTGTTAATCTAAAAAAATAGGGAGAGATGATATGTATGTGAATGATTTATGAGGCAGTTTTGCAGGGCATCAGTGAAACATTTGTCCTAATTAGCCTTGACAGCTTCTCGTGGTTAACTTCCAAATATAGATCCCTACCATGTCATGAGACAGTTAGTTTCTAACCACAAATCTTGACTAATCTCAAAATTACAGGGTTTGAGATTTTTGTTCATTTGAGCTGTAGTCCAGGGCCCCTGCACCTCACCTCCAGGTATAGTGGGTCAGCAAAGCCAGGCAAAGTGTATTTTCAGGAATTAAATAGACTTCATTTAAGACCTGATGTTGGTTTTTTTTTTCTTTTTTTTTATTTTAAATTCTCCACTTTTAGTCCCTTCCTCCAAATTTAATTGCTCAGGCTGACCTATACTTCTATAATCTTATAATATACTAGTCCTTGATTAACTTTTTATAATTTGCAAATTTGTAATTTTTTTTTGGAAAAGCATTGGCATTCTGTTTTTTTGTATAACTTGGCTTTGTTCACAAAAGCCTAGTGATGTTCATTCAAAGAGGCTTAAATTATTTCATCCTATAATTCGACACTACATCTCAACATTGTAGTATTGTACTGAATTGTGTCGAATTATATTAATTTTTTTAATATAATTATTGAAAAGGAGCCACTTAAATGGCGTGTTTAAATTATTAGTTAATACAAATTATAAATAAGTCTTTAGATCATACCAAGTGTCATTCATTATATGTATATTTTATCAATTACTTACAAATGATATTTGACATAATATTATTGTAGATGCAGAAGTTCATGATACTATGCTAATGATTTCTTTGACAGCTTCTAGTTTTAATTTTGATTTTAATTTTGAAAGTACACTAAGCCTAAGCTATTGGCTTATTTTTCCCCAAGAGAATGTAAATGAAATTAAGCCAATGGGATTGTAGCTTGGTGGTTAAGCCAGCTGCACACAAGGGACATTATGCTAGCTCAGTTAGCATCATCAGCAGACTTTGCTTGTCTGTTTCTGCTTCACAAGAATTCACACTGAAAACTATGTGTACCCAAGCTATCTATTTTGTGGACTTCCTAGCCTAATCTCATGCTCCTGACCAGGGTTCGATTTACCCAGTATCGCATCTCAAAATGCGACACATTTTAAACTAATTGCCAAGCACTTCCCACAAATGAATCAATAAAATGCAATGCAATTATTTACCTAGAATTACCAACTCAGTAAAAACTAAGAAGCTTGATGCACAAAGAAATCCTAAAAATTGTTTTAAAAACAGTCAAAGTCTAGTTTGGGCCAAAAATAGTGCAATATGCTTGTTTTCAAGTACACACATGTAGTGCTACATGTACATCGTTTTTCATGCAGGTGGTTTGAGTACAAGTTGGCCTTCTTTCCAGTGTTTACAATATTACCTCATATTAATTGCCACTCCCTCCATTCTACTTCTCCTGTAGAGCACTTTCGCTTAATAAGCACATGTTTGCACGGTGAGGAGTAATGTTGCCTAATGTGATGTATGTATGTGTAGTGTGCAAATTATCTTTTTTTCTTTGCTGTTACTCCCCTAAATCCCTGTAACGGCCAGTGATCGTCAGTTGTCACCTGGTCTGTAAATTGGTAATCACGGCAAGGTGGACTGCACAGTGTGGGTATAATCACTGAGATTATTGCAGATTATTTGTCACTTTTGCAATTCATTGCAAATGGTAACTTTCTTGGAAAATTATCATCACGATGACGGCGAATTTGTCGAAAAAAGTGGAAATTTTCATGAGGATTTCAGTAGATGGCCTCAAACCACCAGCTACTCCTCAGAGAAGGCAGCAGATATTTTTCTTAGCACCAAACGGTGGCCTAACACCCAGTCATACTTTAAAACTTTAAAATAAAACCTTTAACTAATTTTACTAATGCCAGTTGGCAGTTTACATCCAGAGTCAGACTCAGTGGCTGTCAGCCTGTCACTATCATATTAGACAGTGAGGATGAGCCAGTGTTTCTTAAATTAATTTTAGTGCTGAAAATAAGGACACATCACTGTGATTTTCTTATTGAAAAGTATATTTCTTTTCTTTAATAACCATTCATTATCGCGGCAGAAAAAAATTCTATGCAAAATTTTGTAATTGCTACACAAAACAGAAAGTGCATAGCACTTTCTGCTAAACACACAAAATACTGGGAATCAACGCTGCTCCTGAGACCCGAGTTGAATTCCAGCAACTCCATAATTAAGTCAAATAACAAGATTAATATGTATATATATATAATCGACCCTGGGAAGAACAGTAGTGAATGTTAAATTGAAAAAGGAAGGATAGGAAATACAGCTCTGCATTGCAAACTTTTAATTAACCCTGAATTTGTGGAAACTGAAATGATGCAATTGGAATGAGTGATACAAACAAATTGATATTTCCAAAATGAAATAATAATAGTTTGACATTAAAAACAAAATTGTATTTACAGTAATTAAAAATTGCACCGGATTTAACAACAATATTTATAGAACGAACATAAATTATAGTAATATACTGAGCCAAGAAAAAGTAAATAGTCAATGATGGAAAGGAAGATGCTTTTCACATATTCTATAAGAATTTGAATGTAGATGGAATGTTATAACCAAAAAGAATTGAAAGGTTCTTATGATAAAATTTAATCCTTCTTTATTAGTGTATATGTAAAAAAATACATGAATTTGTATTCCATTGAGACCAATTAATTCTTTTCACCTTTTTTTCAACAGTTAACTCCTACGGAAGAAGCATACCTAAAAACACAGCATGATTGGAAAAGGCTACGCAAACAACTTGAGGAACTCCAGCGTGTTAAGGTTCTTTTAAACATTTGTTTTGGATGCAGTAGCCAAAAATGTATTTAAAAAATATGAATCTGAACAAAAATCAGCTAATCTGCATATCAAATTATATAAATTGAATATTATCATATTAACATTCTTTTTTAAAAGCAAATTCCCAGACTTAGTTCTGTACATCTACACATTTACATTATTGTACATTTACTGTACTGTAAAGAGGCTATTCTTTTACTGCATAGGATAAATTGAGTAATTCAAGTTAATATTGTTATTGTTCTTATTATTTTTATGATTGTGACCTATATATTATATTTTTAATTATTATAATTATTGTTATGATTATTAATTGTTATTATTATTTTATTAATATATAGTAAATAATTGTCTGTAAATTAGTATTGCAGAATAGTAAAGTTAATGCACTGAAATAACTGAGAATGGATATTTAAAAATTAAATTCTGAATCCTTGTAACGCCAGCGTAAACACATCATTTTCAGGTTTGTGCTACAAGCATCCGAGAAGCCCTTGTTAGTACGTTAAAGGAACTAAAAGAAGGTAAAGATAGTGTTGGATTTGAGCACAGTGTTGGTGGTGTTGGCAGGTCTACAGATAGTAAGTGAAGATAGTCAAGCATTCTAAATTATAATTCATTCTGATTGGTTTATAAAAGGAAACCATTATTGTCAGCAACTTACATTACAGGTATACAAACAAACAAATTGCGATCCACTTATACTCGAGAAACTATGGTACTGTACTTGACTAAAGCCAAGCACTCACGGTGGGTAAGAGCGTCGTACGACGACTCCAACCCTGCTCCTTTGAGCTCTAGTCGATACAACACTGTCTGCGTAGGGCGCAGTGATTGCCTGGCTTTACACATCATCTTGTACTTGGTATACCTACAGTAATGTTACTTAGCAAGAGTGTTTTGGATTAAGTATACGTAACTTGATTATTCATTATGTCTGATACAAAAACTGATTTTTTTTTTTTTTCTGATGAATTATTGAATTAACTAATTTGAAAAGCTTAATACATTCACTAGTTGACTCAACACTGTTTTGTATGCTGGCCAGGATTATTAAGTAACATTCCCAGCTAGATAGTGAAACATTATCTTGAACTTAACTTCAACTTTAATACCAGGTACAAATAAATATGTATACAACAAAGATAATGCTGTCTCTTATACACATCTAGATGTGTATAAGAGACAGATTAACTCCTAAACAATATTTAAGTAAGCCTGAAATCCATTGTTAAGACATTGGTAACTAAATCGATTATACGGCATTTTCAAAGGTACATGTACAGTGGGTCTAACAA